GATGATATGATGATGATATGATGATGGTGGTGTCCCGATGATGGTGATGATGATGTCGATGATGATGATGAAGATGATGATGATGATGCTGATGGTGTCCCGATGATGAGGATGATGCTGACCATGATGATTATGTTGATGATCATGATGATGACGATGATGGTGTCCCGATGATGATGAGATGATGATGATGTTGATGTTGATGATGATGATTGTGTCCCGATGATGATGTTGATGATGATGAGGTTGATGATGATTATGGCGTCCCGATGATGATGATTATTATGATGGTGATGATGATGATGTTGATGATGATGGCGTCCCGATGGTGATGATGATGATGATGCTGATGTTGGTAATGATGATGATGGTGCCCCGATGATGATGATGATGATGATGATGATGTTGATGATGGTGATGTCGATGATGAGGATGAGATGATGATGATGATGATGATGATGATGATGATGATGATGATGATGATGATGGTGCCCCGATGATGATGATGATTATGATGATGATGGTGATGATAACGATGGTGATCATGATGGTGTCCCGATGATGATGCTGCTGATGATGATGATGACGATGACTGTCCCGATGCTGCTGATGATGATGATGTTGATGATGATGATTGCGATGATGGTGATGATGATGATGGTGGTGTCCCGATGAGGTTGATGACCGTGATGATGATGATGTTGGTGTTGATGATGAGGACGGTGTCCCGATTATGATGATGTTGGTGATGATTATGTTGATGTTGATGTTGTTGTTGATGATGATGATGACGACGTTGATTGTGATAGCGGTTGTGATATCGATAGTGAGATCGATAGTGAGACCGAATGTGATATCGATTGTGAGATCGATTGTGAGATCGATAGTCAGATCAATTGTGAGATAGATCGGGTGAGATCGATTGTGAGATCGGTCGAGGGAGATCGATCGAGCGAGACCGATACTGAGATCGATAGTGAGACCGATCGAGTGAGACGTTGGTTCCTCCCCCCCCCCGAACCTCCTTATCACCCGAAGGGTGGTCGTATAGGTCAACCAGGCACGTGCCTTACAAGAAACAGAGGCGCTTCTAAGAAGTCTTCCCCACCCCCCACTCAGGAGAGGCGAAGTCCAGACGGATTAATGGGAGCAAACAATGAAAACTAATTCTGGGGCGTGCGGGGGGGGGCGGTGCCGTACCGAACTAAAGGGGTCAGGGCGGAGGGCGCGATGCCGCGCCGAAACAGAGGGGTCGGAGCGGAGGGGGCGCGCTGGCTGGCGGCTGGGGGGATGCGGAGGGGGCGCGGGCTGGAGGGGGCGCGCTGGCTGGTGGGTGGGAAGATGCGGGAAGCTATATTAAGGGGTCGGGGCGGGGAGGGGCCGTGCCGAAATAAAAAAGTCGGGGCGGTGGGGGCGCTCTAGCTGGCGGTGGGGGATGCGGAAGAAGCGCGCGGAATGGAGGGGCTGCCCCGTGCCGAAACAAGGGGCTGGGGCGGAAGGGGGCGCTCTGGCTGGCAGGTGGGGGGATGCGGAGGGGGCACGCGGGATGGGAGGGGGGGGCGGTGCCACGCCGAAATAGAGGGGTCGGGACGGAGGGGGCGCGCTGGCTGGTGTGTGGGGTGATGCACCCAAGCCTGGGTCAGAGCGACCCTGGCTCTGCAGTACATCCTGCAAGACCTGGCGCTCTGGCGGACCCCCGTCTCCACTGAGCCCCGCCTGCCCATGCCGGAGATCGCGCCAGGCCCCTCGCCACGCCCTCCCCGCCCCTCGAGGCATGGAGGCCCCGGTCCTGGCGCCCCTGGGTATCGAGGAGAACCCCCTGCTGCCTCCTCCTTGCCCCTGCTCCCTAGGGCGACGAAATCTCTATGTAAGTATCCACTGCTCTCTGGCCTGGCACATCCTGAATCGGGCAGCGATGCGCGCGCAACGCCCGGCGTGTACACAACTCCTTTGCCCAGGAAGGGCCTGGCCAGGGAGCAATGGACATGTATAGATTTCGTCGCCCGATCCTCCTCCTTTCCCCCCTGCTCCCGCTGACTGTGCTCTTCTCTCATGGGAGGGACGCTGAGGAGGAGCGGGACGGATCTGTACGGTCTACCGTTGTCATCATCCGGCGTCTGTTCCACTTGCGCCAAGGGGCATGTTCCAAGAACACATTGGACGACCGTGCCGTTCGGGGTAGGCTTCAATCGGGCGTGTCCCCCTACAGGGGATTTTGTGCGAAAAATGAAAAATACTGAAAAATACACCGAAATGGTCAACAAAAATAATCCCCAGACCATGTTTTTTTTAATACTATTTTTGATAATTTTGGGATTTTCTTTTCATCGAAAATTCCCCTGTAGGGGGACACGCCCGACATAAGGGTGGGCACTGATATCCCAGAGTCGACTACGCGGCACCTCCGGCTCCTGGGGGACTGGGAAACCGACGGGCGCGTTCCGCCTGGCGCGGGCGCCAGCGACTGGAATGAGCCAGTACAGGCAGCCCAGCGTGTGCGGCGGCCATCAGGATGATCACGATGGGTCATTCGGCGGTGGACAAACCTCCCTTTAGTAAACCTCCCTTTAAAGAAAACGGCCTAGGACCAAAACCGACGGACCTGGACCCGCAAAAATAACGGCCGTGACGCCCTCTCGCGAACCGAAAACGGCCAATTCACTTATCGACGTGTCAGGGTAGGAGGTCTATCCAACCCCGAGTAATGGAGAGGTGAACAGCGACAGGGAGAGGGATGAAATAAGTGCGCGTTCTGGAGACCTTGCCGGAACCACTCGCCCCGCATTTGCGCCGACGCTGTGTCGAAAGAACGTCCGCTTCAGTCGAACTAGAGTCGAACCTGAGTCGAGCTAGGGTCGAACAGAGAAGTAAGGCATGCCCTGGGAAAACTTCCAAAAACGATCATCTACGACGGAATATTGAGGAAGGGCCGCCCGAAGCCTGCCTTGGCAAGCCGATGAATGAGCGAGAAGGCCGACGCGATCGAGGTATGACGCAAACGTTCATGCAGCGCCGCCGCACTTGTTGTTTGCCAGATGCGGCAAAGCGCCATGTGAGCACGATCGACTGGCCATCGCTCGGACGTCCATTCCCTGTATTTTTTGTCGGTTTCGTGCGTGCTTTTTTCGCCAAATGATCGAGGATGCTCCTCGATGGTCCTCGCAGAGAAAAAACACACACGTCCGAGCGATGCCAGGTCTAGGCAGCAAAACGTCGAGAAGCCAGCGCATGCACGCGGCGAAGCCAGGAGGGCGGCGGGCAGAGGAAGGCCTCAGCAGGCCACAGATCGGCGGCGCGCGAGGGAGGAAGCAGGAGAGGGCAGGCCTTCTCGGAGGGCGGCGGTGGTTCTCAGAAGCCCTCTGCTCGCCATCGTTCTGACGTCCATTCTCTGTGATTTTTTCGGTTTCGTGCGTGTTTTTTCGCCAAATGATCAAGGATGCTCCTCGATGGTCCTCGCCGAAGGAAAACATGCACACGTCCGAGCGATGCCGAGCTCTGAGCCCTCTGCGGCCTTCTGACGGGCTCGCCCTCTGCGGCCTTCCCCATGGGCGCGCCGCCGACGGCACAAGCAGTGGCCGCAGGGCAGCCGTCCCGGACTCGCTGCGAGCCCTTCGCTGGCCGCTGGCACGCGCAGCACGGGGACACAGTGGGATCCGCGGATCTGGCGCGTGGGATCGGGGAAGGCACCCGAGAAGACATGGCGCCTGTGCCGCCTCTTGACGACAAGACCTGCCGACTCTGTACGGCAGCGGGACCCGTCGCTAGTCCACACGCCTTGATCCACGTCTGCGCTTTCTCGACCCTCGCCCAGCCGCAGCGCTGCCACCGCAAGCCCCCCCCCTGGCGCCCGTTGATCCAAGCGGGTGCGCTGCCCCGATCAGCGGGGGAGAACAAACGGCATCAACGGCACGACGCCGCGGGGAGCCCATCAGCGCGCTGCTGCCGACGCAGCACGGGCGGGAACGTAGGGGGGGACCAACTCAGGGGGGGAGACGTCATGATGTCGGCCTGGAAGCGGCGGTCGATCGCCGATAGATCGACAGTAGGCCCCGAGATCGACTCCGCACGTTCCTGTGGGGGTGAGCCATCGGGCCCTTGTCGGCGATCGATGAAAGATAGGGGTCGTCGATGTGTCCATCCCCTTCGAGCCCATCCCCCCCTAACGAGGCCCCTGACTTGAAGCGGCATCGGGTGGAAGGAGTAACCCGCTGACGATCCAAGAACGGCGGCGACGCGCCATTGATGACTACTCTGCTTCCCTCCCAGAAGTAGAGAGCAAACGCTACAACTTACACAACAGCACTGCCCGGGGGGCGCAGCCGCAGGGGGCAGGGGTAGGACTCGGCGCCAACGCAGCCGTCGGTGCACGCACATGGGGGTCGATGGCCGTGTTGGCCTTCGTCGCCTTTCCAGTACTCTGAACGTGTTGGCCGTGGTCTTCGTTGGTCATTACTCGGTGTAGCGTTCCGTGTTGCAGTCGTCGACGTGTTGGTAATCGGCGTCGCGGTGTTGGTGGTCGACGGCGTCGCCGTTGTAGTAGCAGTCCGTGTTGGCGTTGCCGTTTCCATGGCGGTCGGTGCTGCTGTCGTGCTGGTGGCCATCGCTGCCGACGTCCTTTTGGCGGTCGTCGTGCGAAGCGGTCCGAGCGGTGGTCGTGATCGTGGCTGCTCCTGTCGTGGAGGTCGTGTGCACTCGGGTGGACCCGCCGCTCGCGGCGCAGCAGCAGCATGCGCGCGTCACGCAGCCCGCCCTGCACCCCGGGCCCACAGAGATCAGGCGGGCCGGGTCGCAGATACACGTCATGCCTTGGTCGCCATCACAGCTGCTTGTCGTCGTGTTTCCGCATTGGGCTTCGAAGAACACAGCATGCAAACGAGGATCTAGGACTCGAACGTCTGAGCGTTTCCTTCGATGCGCCAGGATCAATGGGACCCTCCCCATCGGTCGCCAAAGGTGCAGGATGGAGAGGTTCAAAAGTCAAGGGTCATCCCCCTCGATGCGCTCACGAGCGAAGCCCACGGGGTCGCGGTCGATGGGTCTCGACCGCGAGGCCGCTGATATGGAGATGTTGCCCGCCCACGATCCTCAAACATCCAAGATCGTGGCTCTTGAGGAGGTCTCCTCGCCCCCATCTCCCTCCTCCGTCCACCACTCCCTGGTGCTCTTGCTCAGATTCGAGATTTGGGGATCGCGAGATCCAGGCCTCTGAGAGAGCGTGTTGGGTGCGAAATATTCATCGACACGTCATGAAAAACGCGCCCCAGGCCCACCCCTTCCAACATCCCATGCACCTTGCGAACCACCACGCCTCTTCACACGGACCCCCCCTCCCCACCCCCCCTTTCGTCGGCGGTGGACAAACCTCCCTTTAGTAAACCTCCCCCCAGTGAAAACGGCCTAGGACCGAAACCGACGGACCTGGACCCGCAAAAATGACGGCCGCGACGCCCCCTCGTGAACCGAAAAGGCCAATTTCCTCATCGACGTGTCAGGGTAGGAGGTCTATCCACCCCCCTTTTCGCGAAACGGGGGGTTCCCTCCACCCCCTCTCAAGCGCCGGTCGTCGTCGTCGTCCCCGCCGCCGCTGCCGCAGCTGCCGTCCTCGTGATGCCGGTGCTCCCCGTGAGCCCATCCCCCCGAAGCCATCCGAGGACACGACGTCTCCAATCCGTGGCCGCAGAGGTCCCGGTCCCTCCCCCGGGGGAACTGTTTGATGACTACCTACCAGACCACCCCAACCCAACCCGAAGACCCGAATTTCGGGCTGGGGGGGGGTAAGGGTTCCACACGTGCTTTTCCTGCGTTTCCCGACCCCCCCTCCCACTAGAAATCAAGGGTACATCTGAGCCTTCGGGTTGGGTTTTGGGGTGGTTTGGTGGGTGGTGAGTTTGACGCCCCCGGGGCTCGACGACGGGCCCCACAGGCGCCCGGATTGCAGCAAGATCGCATCGCAGGATGCCAGGGCCGGTCACCCCCACGGGGCGCAGCTGGGGCGCCCGCGTGCCCGCGGGGTCCCCCAGGCTGCTGGGCGCGGCCGCCAGCGTCTCCTCGCGGATGCGCGGGCGGAGGGTCGCCGTGGTTTAGAGGCCTGGAAATGAACACGAACACCAACACAGGGGGGGTGCCTCCACAGGGGGAGGATGATCCTAGATTTCGGTGCTGGTGGTAATATTTCGGTCAGCTTGGAAGCCAGAATATTACCACCATCACCGAGATCGGGATCTTCTTCCCTCGGTGGAGGCACACGGGCCGATATTGGTGTTGGTGTCAACCTCTAAGGCCTGCGAGTGGTGCCGCGGTCCAGAGTCCGCGGGGAGGGGGCGGGGGGCAGGTGGCCCTGGCACGGTAGGCGCGGCTCCTGGAAAACATCCGACCTATTGACAAGATCAAGGCGGAGACTGCTCGCGGTAGAAGCAAAATGGCAAAAGATGGTCAAGCTACCCCCTCCGAAGAACTGCCGTCCCGTTCACTTCGATCCGCCATCCAAATCAGTTATGCGGCAAGCGAGTCTCCGCATACGCAGGGGAAACTAACGACAACTGCCACAAACCAATGTAGCCGCCAGCAGGGTACGCGGCGCCCGCGAGGTGCAACGCGCGTGCCAGGGCACCCCCTGCCAGATAATCATGCAAAACTATCGCGGAGCGCCCGCTCATTGTCAAATATGTTGCCGCAACGTGCACTTTGAATTTGCTTGACAAGAACGCTGGGCCTGCTCACACGAGGCAACATGTTGGCCCCTCGCATAAAGAATTCAAAGTGATCACGGCCCCTCCGGACATCATTCAGAACTTGTCGCAAACTGTAGTACGTATTGTCTTTGGGCAAAGGTGGTTCAGGGGTGTTGGCATTGGCCCTGGCAGAGGCCGTCAGAGTGGGGGATGCGGTGTATGCCAATGCGGGGCAAGAGCGTACAAATATGGCTCCCAGAAGGGATGCTTCCGCCGGACGGGGGATGACATCTGGAACCCTTCCCTGAAGTCACCGATGCCACTCCAAAGACGGCCCCAGGAGGGGCCCTAAGGCTCTGAAGAGGACCCCCAAAGGACGCCCCAAACCTCCCAGATTGACCCAGAATGCCAAAAGCACCTATCCAAACTGGTTGCCAAGATGCTGCCGCATCGGAAGATCCTCGAAAGCAATGTGGTTGACTACTGGGTCTCCTCAGGCTGGCCCCGGGCTTCGGTGTGCCCAATACTTGCTCCTACATGTCTTTGGTGTTAGGTCGGGCATGTCCCCCCACAGGCAGATTTTGGGCGAATCATAAAACAAGTGCACGCAGAATACTCAAACATGGTCAAAAATAATCAACAAATTGTCCCCATATTATTTTTGTTGACTATGCTTGAACATTCCTCCTGTAGAGGGGCATGCCCGACTTAACCGTGGTGGCAGGCAGTTCTGGAGCATAAGCTCTGGGTGTGCTGATGGGGAACCACGAAAAGTCTACAAATCGCTTCCTCTTTCACCAGGAAGCGGATGAGCGTGACCATGTTTTTGTGAATCCCTGGCGTGGCAATTCACACGCGGTTATGTATGTGCATGTCCACCGGCTCACATGTCCGCGCACATGCCGTGCCATAGAAATTTTGGACCTCGAAGCCATCGACCTCGAACGAACCAGATGGGCCGATGTGCTGGAATGTGCCCGCCCACGGATGACATCCACACAAGACACCTGTTGTAATAGACCTGCGAGCGCATCCTCGGGTCCACCAACATGTTGTTTGGGACGCCATCAAGACCTTCGAACGCACAGTACAGCAGCGCATCAGCCAACACCCCGTCCAAACATTAGCTGCGTTACGACGCCTAATGCATGCTCGCGCGCTTGGCCTATGATGCCCTGTTGCTTGCATAACCGCCACCGTGCTGCTGGTCACGGAATGGGCGAGTCCTCAGGTCCCGAGCCAAGTCCTCAGAACCTCGATCCTCACTCCTGAGGGGTCACTGAGCGGCCCAGGGCCCAACTTGCTAAAAACATAGTGGCTTTGTCACGGTTCCCCGCGGCGTGTCGCATGAATATTTGGGGCGCACGGAGGCATCAAGACGGGCCAACAGTCGACAAAAGTGGTTCGCCAACTCATGCTGGAAACATGGGGTGCAAAAAAAGGTACGACGGACAAGGTGGTGGCAGTAGGATCGTGCAGTTAGTTGCCTATGTGCGACCCACCACCGCACGTTGTGCACCACTACGGTACAGGCAAATGGTTCGGCGCCGCCTTAAACAAAGGCAGCAGCGGGATAAGCAAGATACATCAAGCAGATCGCTCACCCTCGGAACGCACCTGCAAACTCGAAGGGGGGGACGAGACTTACCCGCTGTCGTATAGAAAGAAGGCTCACCGAGTACCGTACAGTGAAAAGGATCGGTAGCTAGCTGATCCAACCACCAGAACAACGCTGCGGTGGTCCCGTAAAAAAAGGGGTGCTTACAGCAAGAATCATGTGCGCAATATGTTCCGTGGGCTGCGCGGAATCAGAGACGCACTGAAGCATCCTGTGGTTCTGTGCGGTCGAGCGCGAGCACAGCACGTCCCCGCAGTGCAGAAGCTGGATCTCTTGGGTGGTAAAACTGACGCATTTTGGCCACGTATCATTCGGGCGTTGGCAGAACTGGGTTTAATGGAACCTGGTTTAATGATCTGTACCGGGGGCGCCCCCCCGTCCCATTTCCACTAAACGGAACTGCCGTCACCCGAAGAACACCAGATATGGCAAACCTGGTTTAGTGATTCTGGCCAACTCAAAAGCTCCGGGGCCCTACCACTAACCGGGTCCCCTTACCCGGGGTCCTGGCCATACCCGACCATAGGTCACATCGAAGGAGGGGCGGGAGGAGGAGGAGGAGGAGGAGGAGGAGGAGGCTGGCCCAGCCCGAATCATGCTTGGCCCATCCCAGGGCGGCCGACCGAGCCTCAGCGCGCGAGCCCCTGTGCGGGCCCGTGTGCGTCCCACGCCCGGGGGCGGGGGGGCAGGCCGGGCCGGGCCTGCGCGCCGCCGGGACCTCCCGATGCCCCCCACACGGCCCACAAGGGACGTCGCCGCAGGCCCGACGTGGCCCCGTCGGGCAGCAAGCTCACGCACCACCCCGTCGAGGACCGCGTCTCGTAACGCCGCGTGGGGGCCAAGTCGTGAACTCTGCTCGCAGCCTCATCCACGACGGCCTGCCAGTGAGACACGGACGGGCGAGCACAGCCTACCAGGCAACCCTTCGCCGGGGCACACACACACACACGCATAGCTTCCATCGAATCGCTTACTTGGTCTGGGCCAGCCCTTCATTGCACGTGGGATAAAGAAAAAACGCAATTCCCCAAAGCAAGACTGATCACACATGCGCCGCGACAAGCCTGCGCGGGACTTGGTCGTGCACATCTGCCCCTGGTGGGGCGGTGATGATGACATTGGACTGCGCAAGTATCGCGTACCTACTTGACGCGCCTGAGCCACCGCCATCGTTGTCCACCGCGCAACTCCAAAGGCCACGCCAGCCCGTGACAAGCGCTTGGCCTTGGCAGTCGCCGAGCATCTGCTGAGTCACATGGCGCTCTTGCTCCAGCACAACCTGCGCCAGCGCAACCTGCGTCTGCGACGTGACGAGGTAAATGTAGAACGGACCCGGCGATGGAGTTGAGCGCGACATAGGACAAGCCATCGGCCCGTGACCGCGAAACCGAAGCCGTCGCTGAAATCCTGGATCCAGGGCGCCGCCGAAGCACAGGGCATCATTGCAGCACCTGCGGGGGCCGCGGCAGGCTTTCCCTGGCCGCCCGCCCCCTGTCCAGTCATCCTTGGCAAAGTCCCGCTGGATCAATGCTCGTACCGTGGATCGATGTCCTGGGGGCTGCCTTCAGTGTGAAGCACTTGGACAGCCCGATGGAAAGAAGCCCAACCGAGCCCCCACACAACCCACCAACAGCCTGGACACCACTGCCGTGTGCCGGGTGAGCAGATGGGATAAACAAGGCCGACTCCGCCATGATTTGAGCATGGCCGACCGTCCCCGCATGCCTATAGGCCTACCATGAGATGTTCTTAGAACCAAAAAAGCGTTCTAAGAATAAGAACAATGTCCTTAGAACAGAATTCCGATGTGCTGAAACAAGATAGTCCCAGCCAGAAACGTTCCAAGAACCTCTCTTGCAGACCACAAAAGGTTCTTAGAACATTATGTCATGGACCTATGGGCAAGCCAGGACGCTTCGCCACTGCTTGAAACTCAGCCTCGACTAGACATGGCCCGCTGGAAATACCAGCACCCATGCTCCCACCCACCATGCTGTCAGCACAAGCGCCACCAGAAAGATGCATGCATGGGGTTCGAGGGTCGAGGTCTCACTCACTGCAAAGCCGGCGCGAACTTCGCCAGGGAGGCAAAAAAGCATCGCGAGCTGAGGTCACCCCACTCTGTGAAGTAATGGGCGTGCAGGTGGAAATCACGCTGGAGGTGAGGCCACCCACTCAAACCAAGCCGCTGTCAGCAAGAGCGCCACCACGAGGGCCAGGGAGGATGTCCCTGAAGAGCCTGGCCGGCTCGGGCATGCGGTATCGGTGCTGGGCATCCTCATCTCGCAACTCACTCACGCAATCGGCCACAATTACCTACGCCACCGCGTGCGCTGCCGTCAGCTCCTTGCAGACGGACGGTGCTGAAAGAAGATGCCACCCAGTTTCGCCTGACAGGTCACAAACATTTGTCTGGTTTCGCCCTGGTTTGGTCCCCATGTCGCTTCATATGACCTAAAACATTACAAGGTTTGGCCCCGGTCTAGTTTCGTATGGTTTGGGCCCGGTTTTGTCCTGAGACGTCCTCAAAACTTTCCTGGTTTGGCCCCAGCGTTGCCTGGTTTGGGATTGGTTTCCCTTGAGGTGTCCTTACGATGTTTCTGGTTGGGCCCTGCTTTGGCCTGGCTTGGGCACAATATTTGTCTCGTGATGGGCGCCTTGCGGTCTTAACACACGAAGGGATGTGTCACGTTTTCGCCGACACTGAATGAATGATTCACACAAGTCGTGGTGGGCATGTACAAACCGAAGTAACGCCACGGTGTCATGAATACCGATTGTAGTCCCCAGGGTGGCGGGATGGGCCGAAGGCCATTAGATCAGTGAGTGGTGAAGTACGCTGACTTGCGTGGTTCTTCCAGTAGAGCTTGATTGCAATCTTGTTTGCACGTGCTTGACACGGCTTCGTTGCCTTGCACATGTCCTGCATGTTATTTACCATGCTAACTTGATGTGTTGTCTGCGCTTGCTCTGGTGAAACGCGTTTGCGTCTTGCGCTCGCCAACTAGCGTGCATACTCGATGCTACCATGCTTAATAACACGCGCTCCTTGTTTCTCCTTCCTTATCCGTGAATGGTCAGCCCTCCGCGCTTGCTGAGTGGAAGGACAGGAGACCTGGCAAGCCGAAGAACTTGAGCGTGACGAACTGCCGCTGAGTCGGAGGGCCCCCGCTGGCGGCGCGCAAAGAGGGGTACGGGGAGAGGGAAAGGCTGCTTCTTAGAAGGCTGCTTCTTGATCTGCTTCCCGCGCGCACTGCACGATGGCCTCCAGCGTCCGAAGGTTCTCGTGGCCCAGGCGGCGCCCAGGGGCCCTCGGCTCCGGCAGCAGAAGCCGCCTCGCCAGGTGGCGGCCACCGCCGCCATGGGAGCAGTGTGGACACTTCAGGAAAGACAAGAAGGACCACTACCACCAGCCAGGGGGGTGGTCGCTCCCTCCCCTCGAGCTGGTGGCACCTCCTTCCGGGCACTCGATGGAGGCATGCCCGGAACGAAGTGCCACCAGCTCGAGAGGGTGGGACAGCCCCCCCCTAATTGGTGGTAGCGGTCCTTCTTGTCTCGGGTAAGCACTGACGGACAAGAATGGCACAAACATGAACTTCCGGATGTCCCGCGGAGTTCCTTGCGCGGAGCTCCTGGGTCGGCGCGGGACCCCCCTCCCCTCGCGCGCGGGTCGAGCCAGGGACGGCACCAGGGGCGCCACCAGGTGTCAGGGCCGATCCAGCACATCTACGCCGACCACCGATAGCCCGCGACTACGCATTAAGACGCAACTTGAGGGAAGTCTTCGTGATAATGATTGAGATCACCAGAAAGCCGACTCAATTTCCATTTAGCCGGATCAGGCCAGAAAAAACATAGGATCAAGTCAGATTGAGCGGGGTTAGTGGCCATGCGCTTCCCGTTCCCTCCGGCTTCATCTTTCATACCTCCAAACCTCCGCGGAAGGTGCGGAAGAACTCATCGAAACTCACGGGAAGCTTACGCAGTTCCAGGAACCCCACATCGATCACACGTGAAAAAAGGCCTGGAAGTCAGGGCGGAAGGCCCAGAAGCATGAGGAGGAGGAGGAGGAGGAGGAGGAGGGAGGAGGTGAGATGCACTTGTCTTCGAGGAGAGAATCGGCGCGTCCGTTTCGCCGGCGCCGGGCTCGAAGGGTCAGGGGGAGAGGCCGCGGAAGCAGGCCACGCTGCCAGCTTCAGGCCTCGCGTTAGGTCGGGCATGTCCCCCTACAGGCGGATCTGGGGCGAACAAATAAAAATGGCCAAACAAATCGTAAACCAATCGTCCCCATACTATTTGTCATTCAATATTTCCCCACATCCGAACTGGAGTTCTTGTTTTCTCTGCGCACCCCCGCGCAGGAACCTCACACCTCACCCCCTCTCCTCCCGTCGCACACTCACTGATTCACCCAATCACTCACACCATCATCATCAGTCCCACGCGCGCACACACACACCCACTCACAATCAAACATCAATCACTCGTCATCGCACTCACTCGATCATTTTCATTGCTTCCACGCAATACTCCCCCTCATCACTCTTCATCAATCGCATCACAGCAACATTGTTTTGCCCATCATCCAACATGAAGTTATTCCCCACATCCTGAGTGGGGTCCTTGTTTTCCAAGAAACATCCTCTCCTTCTCCCTCCCGCCTCCCGCCTCCCATATCAATACCACGCCTACCACTCCAGCCTCCCATATCATACCATCCCTCCCACCCCTCCAAGAAGGTCCCGCCTGAGCGAGGAGGGTATCGGAAACCCATACTATTTACATGGTTTCGTGCCCTTCCCACCTCTCCAGGGAGGCCCCGCCTCAGCGAGGAGGGTACCGGAAACCCATGCTATTTACATGGTTTCGTGCCCCCTCACCCCTCCAAGGAGGCCCCGCCTGAGCGAGGAGGGTATCGGAAACCCATACTATGTACATGGCTTCGTGAAGCCCCGCCTGAGCGAGGAAGGTATCGGAAACCATATGATTTACATGGTTTCGTGCCCCTCCCACCCCTCCAGGAAGGCCCCGCCTCAGCGAGGAGGGTCTCGGAAACCCATACTATTTACATGGTTTCGTGCCCCTTCCATCCCTCCAGGGAGGCCCCGTCTGAGCAAGGACGGTATCGGAAAGCCATATTATTTACATGGTTTCGTGCTTCCCCTCCCCTCCAAGGAAACCCCGCCTGAGCGAGGAGGGCATCGGAAACCCGTACTATTTCCATGGTTGCGTGCCCCTTTTTTCCACCCCTCCAGGGAGGCCCCGCCTGAGAGAGGAGGGTATCGGAAACCCATACTATGTACATGTCTTTGTGCTCCTCCCACCCCTCCAGGGAAGCCCCGCCTGAGCGATGACGGTTTTGGAAACCATATTATTTACATGGTTTCGTGCCCCTCCCATCCCTCCAGGGAGGCCCCGCCTGAGCGAGGACGGTATCGGAAACCCATACTATGTACATGGTTTCGTGCCCTTCCCACCCCTCCAGGGAGGCCCCGCCTGAGCGAGGAGGGCATCGGAAACCCATACTATTTACATGGTTTCGGACCCCTTCCACCCCTCCAGGGAGGCCCCGCCTGAGGATGGTGTAGTTGTGGAGTAATTGCGTAATGCCGCGCATGCCGTGGGCAGGAGGCCACGTAGTTGCTGTGCGTACTTACTCGTTCGGTGGGCTTCTCCTTCGTGTTGATGTTGTCATACCCCATGGGTCCCACGAAACCGTTCATATCTTTATGTGGGGAACTCCGTTCGCATATTTGTTTTTCTGGACAACACGCACAAGAAAAGGAGAACGCACCCTCTCCTTTTCTCCAAACGCATACTAATTCACTCAATCAGTCACACACATCATCACTCTCACTCACTCCCCCACTCCATCACACACTCAAACACACACTCGCTTACCCACTCAGCCACCCACTCACACACACACGTTACCATCTTCATCACTCAGGCACGCACTGACCCATCCATTCACCAACCTACCCGCCCACCCACTCACACACTCACACTCATCATCATCATCACCATCGTCATCATCATTATCAATGGCATCGTCCTCATCTTCCGTAGCTCTCTCATTCACTCACTCATTCTCTCACTCACGCATCTCAGGCGGGAGTTTCGTCTGTGAGTGATTCGCGCGGAGGTCTCAGGCGGGAGCCCCATCCCCATGGGGCCACCTCACGTTGGTAGTCCGAATGGGCCATCGGTCTCCTGAGGCTGGATGTTGAAAGGGGGTCTGTGGCGGGAGCTTCGTCTGTCATTGAATTGCGAGGAAGTCTCAAGCGGGAGCCCCCTCCCCGTGGGGCCCGCATTTCATGTTAGTAATCCGAGCGGGTCATCGACCCCCTGCATCTGTCGTCACGTCTGGTGTCCTGAAGCTTGAATGTGGACGAAATGTCAAGCGAGCCTCGTCCTTTTGTTGAGCGCGAGGACGTTTCAAGCGGTAGCCCCCTCCCTGTGGGCCCGCAGCTCACATGAGGAATCCGAATGGATCATCTGCCTCCTGCAACTGCCGTCGCGCCTGGGCCCCTGAGGCCTGCAAGTGAAAGAAGTATGTGGCGGGAGTCTCGACTGTCAGTGAATTGCGAGGAAGTCTCAAGCGGGACCCCCCACCCTCTGGGGCTCGCAGCTCATATGAATAACCCGATCGGGTCATCGGGAACCTGTGATTGTCGTCACTTTTGGTATCCTGAAGCCTCAACATGGTGGAGGGATCAGGCGTGGGTCTCGACTGTGAGTGAAGCGCGAGGAAGTCTCAGGCAAAATCCCCCCCCCCCTATGGGGCCCGCACTTCACGCTCGAATCCGGGGCCGGTCATCGGCCTCCTGTAACCGTCGTCACTTTTGGGTTCCTGAGGCCTGAATATGGATGAAGTATAAGGCGGGAGCCTCGTCGGCGAGTAAATTTTGAGGAAGTCTCAAGCGGGGGCCCCCGCCCTATGGGGCCCGCGCCTCACGCGTTTTCTCCGGGTCGTCCTCCGGCGCGCGCTTCCTCAGGGTAGTCCTCCGGCGCGTAACCGCTGGGACGCACGTCGCGCGTGCCCTTTCGGTCGCGTTCCGCACGCGGAGAAAGAGGAGGAAGAGGAGGAGATGGAGGAGGAGGAAGAGGAGGACGAGGACGCTGGACGAGAAAGGAGAGAAGGAAGAGGAGGAGGCAGAGGGGGAACAGGACGAGGAAGAGGAGGAGGAGGAAGAGGGGGACGAAGAAAAGGAGGAGGACGGAGGTCCCGGAAGGCCCAGAAGGCTCCAGGAGTGCCCAAGAGCCCCCAGAAGGACAAAGGAGGAGGCAGGAAGCCTGAGGAGGAGGATGGAGGAGGAGGAGGAGGAAGAGGAGGAGGAGGAAGAGAGGAGGAGGAGGAGGAGGAGGAGGAGGGCGAGAAGGAGGAGGAGGGGGACACAGAAGGAGACGAGGAGGAGGATGAGGCGGGGGAGGGGGAAATGAGGAGGAATAGGAGGGAGAGGAGGAGGAGGAGGAGGAGGAGGAGGAGGAGGAGGAGGAGGAGGAGGAGGAGGAGGAGGAGGAGGAGGAGGAGGAGGAGGAGGAGGAGGAGGGAGAGGGAGAGTGGCGGAATGGCGGGAGGTGCGCTCACATGCGCGCCGCAAGGGGCCAGAACTGGGCCTGACCAGCCCGGGGCCCCACGACCGTGACGAGGCCTTCCGATACGCCGAAGTAGGGCAACGTCACCTGCGGCCGAGAAGCTGGGCCATGACCTCTGGAGGGAAGGGAGAAGTGCCGTCAAGCTCTGCCTTCACCAGCAGCTCCAGAAGGCGACTTTTCCTCTTCGGCATCGCGACAGCCTCCGAGACGCCGTCGCCCAGCGTCGCGCCTGCCATCGGAGCCAGTGGGACCTGCGCGTCCATGAACTCCTCGGCGACCGCACCGCCGCGCGCCTCCCCCTGCACCGCGCACGAGGCATCCGACACCGCACCCTCAGTCGACTTCATACGTCGTGCATCGCAAAGGTAGCCGCACGCCACCGACGCGCCAGCGCTCCGCCGCGGCTCAGGATCAGCCGCGCGACGGCCAGCCGCATCCGAGTCCACGCTCTCGCACACGCTTTTCATGGAGTCCATCACGCTCGGCATCTGGTCACAGGGCAGCCTGGCGACCGCACTGCAGTCAGGAACCAGCGCAGGCGCGGCGAGCACGTCGGCGGCCAGGGGGTCTTGATGATCAATGCCCCACTGGCCGAGCGGCAATGCGAGCCCCGACGCCGCCCAGAGGGAATACACCTCGGCGCCGCAAGTGCATCGGAGGCTCGATGAAGTGGGCAGCGATTCCCCACGAACCCCAGCGGGGAAAAACTCCGTCGCCTCCGCTCGCAGCTGGCACCGAAGCCGCCGCCACCACCCCATGGCCCGTGCCGAGCCCTGTCGGCTGCAGCCTTGACGGCACGCGCCTCGACGATGACCTCCGCGGGCAGCTTCACGAGGGTCGCAAGCTCCCGAAAGGCGCCCCCGAGGTGGTAACGATGATGGCCAAGCTCCGCGTCGAGCCGCCGGTGCAGCAGGAGGGCCTGCCTCAAAGCCGCCAGCCTCCCGCGCAGCTCCTCCAGCCGTCGATGCAGAAATCTACGTCGATGTCCACAATGGCCTGGTCCGTCGCGCTGCTGACCAGCTCCGTATCCGCCTTCAGCGCACGCTCGCGCCGAAGCCGTCGTGCGAGGTTAACAGCGGACTTCCTCGCCCAGGCCTTACCTCGTGACTCCTCCACTAACACACGCTCGGGCCGACGGCCCCGAAGGTTTCCCGCAGCCATACTCAAACTCCACGCGGAACACCTCCAGCAGCAGAAGCAGCAGCCCTTGAGCTGGCTTGCGCAACAAGGGGGTTCGCCCGCTGTGACCGGCTTGAGCCAAAACGGAAACGGAGGAGGGAGAGGGAGAGGGAAAAGGACGAGGAGGAGGGAGGAGGTGGTGGGGGAGGCAACTGGAGGAGGGGGAGGCCGGGCCTGGGCAGGAGGAGGAGCAGGCAGGACGAGGAGGAGGAGGAGGAGGCAGGAGTAGGTGGGAAACGGGAGGGGGCGGGAGGAGATCTCCAAACAAGTTAGACAGATTCTCGTGCGGGGTCTTACCGTCGAGTCGAAAGTGACTACGGTAAGTCAAATAATATCCGCTCCCATGGGAATCGGATGGCAGATAGCGTCCATTGCCCTGCTGGGGTGGTTCAATATGGGGAACGGACGGATAAGATAGGATAAGATCGATGTA